TAATTACATTTCTGAGTTTCCAAAGTCCCATTTCCCTTGACCCTGTCCTGGATGAAGTGCAGCTGGGGTCTAGTAGAGCGAGAAGCAGAGCCAGTGTCCACCTTGCAGCTGGGGCCAGTTCAACAGGCTGGTTACAGTCCATTAGTCCACTGTGCGGGGTCCACATGGCCACGGACTGTGAGAGAAGCCCTGTGAGCCAGGAGCCAACAGCGAAGCACCAAATGCCAAGAGAGCTGAGTTGATTTTGTTTTCTTAATTGATTTTATAGGGAGAGGAAGAGAGAGAAACATCGATGAGAGAGAACATCGATTGGCCGCCTCCTGCATGCCCCCCACTGGGGATCTGGCCCACAACCTGGGCATGTGTCCTGACCGGGAATCGAACTGGTGACCTCTCGGTGCAAGGTCAATGCTCAACCACTGAGCCACACCGGTCAGGTTGATTTTTTTTTTTAATCCTCACCTGAGGATATTTTTCTATTTATCTTCAGAAAGAGTGGGAGGGAGAGGGAGAGAAATGTAGACTGGTTGCCTCCCGCACGACCCCGACCAGGGCTAGGGACGAACTGCAACCGAGGTACATGCCCTTGGCCATGTACCTCAACCCGCAACTCACTGGTCCGCGGGTCTACACTGTGCCACTGAGCCAAACCGACCAGGGCTTTTTTTTTTACATAAAATTTTTTATCTTTATTGTTGGAAGTATTACAGATGTCCCTCCTTTCCCTCCCACTGACCCGCACCCCCCCACACCCCACCCCACATTCACTGCCTGTGGGGAGCTAATGTCTTTGTTCAGGGAAATAAAGAGCCCAGACCGGCTGTTGCTTGCAGCGGCCACGCCCGCTCTGGCCAGTGACCTGTCCCCCGGTGTGATGGCAGCCAGCACCTTCCTGGGCAGCCCACCTTTCCTGGGCAGCATCTGTCCGTCAGACAGACGTGAGCAGAGAAGGACGATGGGCGAGGACCAGGAGGCCCCGGGTGGAAGGCCACGGGGGTGGGGGGGAAGGCGCCGGGTGGAAGGCCACGGGGGTGGGGGAGGCACCGGGGGGAAGGCCCTGGGGGAAGGCCGGGGTGAAGGCCCCGGGCGCCTTGCAAAGGGCAGTCGTGGGTGGAACCTCACCGCAGGTGACCTGTCCTCTCCAGCTACTGTGGGTCCTGAGGTTTGGACCTCGGACCCTCCCTCCCTAGAGGTACCATCGAGGCCTCAGCTGTATTTCAGCTCCAGGCCCAGGAAAGCAGCAAACCAGACAAGGGTCACCAAGGCCGACCTCAGGACCAGCTGCTGTCACTAATGAGTTCCTGTCCTGGCGCCGACCACCCATCAGTGGATACCTGGACCCCGAGAGGACACACCTGGACAGCTGCTGCCTACTCTGCTGAGCCCCCCCCCCAGCACCATCACCTCCCTCCCTCCCAGCTCCCAGGGCCCTTCCTTTGCCTCTATAACTGGTTTCCTCGGCCCATTTCTTCTACCACTTGCTTCTTCTGCCTCTGTGGTTTTTTGGATGGACGTTCTCGTATACCTGGGCTCGAATTCTTTCCCAGCCAGAACTCAGGTGTCGAGGTTCCTGAGCCCAGCGGTCTAACACCAGGTGCCATCCCGATGCCCACAGCAAGTCTGCCTTCCTCTCTGTCCAGTCCCTTCCTCCAGGGATGGGGGTGGGGCGGGCTGGACCGGTGGCTCCCTGGGCCGCGCAAAGCCTTAGCGGTCTGGTGAAGCTGTCGCAATGACATGCCTATGACATGTGGCCTTCCCTTTGCCCCCTTCCTGCTGGTAATAACCGGGTTCATGACAGTGGTGTCCGCCGCAGCCAGGCCGCTGAGCCCCACGAGCCTGGGAGGCAGGGGGTGACATCTGGGTGACTTTGGGCAGAAGGGAGACGGTGCCCAGGAGGGGACTGTGAGGCGAGGCAGCGTCACGAACAGGCAGGCGACACGCACGACAGTGTCCAGACCTTGACCGCGTCAAACTGCGGGTGTGGCTGTGCGGGACCCGGTGGTGCGCTCCCCGTCACCCGGCAGCCTCCCTGCCTCCCGAGCCCCAGTACCCGGCCCTGCCGGCTGAGTCTGCGGCCATCTCGCGCTGACTTCTACGTGCGGAAGGCTCCCAGGCAAGGGTCCCAGTGCTTCCTTGCGGGTGACTGTCCAGTCGTCCAGACCACTTGCTGGAAAGTTGGGCTTTCCCGCTAACCCTTCCTGGGGCCCTGTTGACATGTCTTGACAGCCGATACCCAGCGAGCAGCTTTTGTAAACGATAAAGTGATAAAGTGACCAAGTCTTTCTTCAAGAAGGTGGCCGGGGCTCCTGGGCCAGAGAACCGGGGTGCAGCGAAACCCCACTGCTCACACTCCAGACTGGTTCTGACCCCGCGCCGTAAAGAATGTGGGGCCCCTGAACTGAAAGCTCGGGGGGAGGGCTCCACGCTCAGACCTGCCCCCCGTCCTGTCCGCTACACGGGGTGCTCTGCCTACCGTCCCCGAAACCTCGCGCCCCGCCCCCCCTGCCCACCCCACCCCTGCTCTCTGCCCTGCCTTGGTCCCCAGCCAGGCCGGTCCCTGCCAAACTGCCCAAGTAGACGGGGCACACTCACCCCCACCCTGGTCCAGGCAGGCATTGCCTCACGTGGCGCGGTGCCAGCCGCCCAGGGCGCATCCGCCAGCCGGGAGGAGGAAGCCTGTGAGGCCACGTGGCCCCCGAGGGCCAGTTTCTGAACTTGCTGCCTTTTTTTCTCAGTTTCAGTTGACGTTCAGTATTATTTTATATTGGTTTCAGGTTAGACAGTTACACCATGAATGAAGTGATCCCGATAATTCCGGTCCCCACCCGGCACCACACGTACTCATTACAGCGTCGCCGACTACGATCTCTGGGCTTCTCCGACCCCCCACCCGCCTCCCAGCCCCTCCCACTGGCGACCTCAGTCTGTTCTCTGTGTCCGGGAGTTTGTTTCTGGTTTGTCCGTTTATTTTGTTCTCTAGATTTTGCAGATAAATGAAGTCACGTGGTATTTGTCTTATTTTGAACTTGCTGGCTTTTTAAAAAAAATTTTTTCCCCACCTTTATTGGTTTTAGAGACAGAGGAAGGGAGAGGGAGATAGAAAATCGATGGGAGAATGTGGACTGGCCGTCTCCTGCACGCCCCCCACTGGGGATCAGGCCCACGTCTGGCCACGTGCCCTGACCGGGAATCGAACCGGCGACCTCCCGGTGCAGGGTCGACGCTCACCCACTGAGACACGCCGACCGGACAAACTGGCTGCCTCTTTAACTCGCCAGGGGTCCGAGAAGCAGCTTCCTGGTGACCATATGACCATATTCACTCACCTTCCTTGGCTGTGGGGGTCCCATGGCCTCGACAGGGTTTCTCACCCTGGCCTTCAACCTGTGCTGGCCCTGAACCCCGGCAGAATTGGGGGCTCTGAGCCCTTCCCCAGCGTGCCAGCCCCTGGGGTCTGGACCTGCAGCCAGGCCCGGCCGCACACCTGCCTCACCTGTCCTGGAGCCCTGGGAGTCTGGCTTAATCCTGTTTCCAGCCACTGGCCGCTTCAAACCCAGCCAGAGATGCCCGAGGGCACCCTAGTCCACAATGCACGCCAAGTACTGTCATCCACGAGACCCACCCGAACCCAGACCCACCTGCTGGCTTTGGAAATACGAGGGCAGAGCAAGGGGCCGAGTTCGGCAGGAGGCAAGCGCCCAAGGCCCTGGTGACCAGCCGACAGGGAGGGGAGGGGGCTCCGGCCTGCAGGGACAGCTGGGATTCCCAGCAACCCGACTTGCGGCAGACTGGGCGCAGCAGCCCAGGACGCTGACCACGGGCTGGGCAGACCTTCCCGCTCCTGCAGTTACTGCTGTAGTTCACATCCCTCAAAGGCCCTTTTTAAACATGTGAAGTATTTCTATAAACGACGTGACTTCCGGGATTTGCCCCAATAATCCAGTGGGTGGGAGGGGCTGCAAGTGTTCCCGGGCTGGGTGGACACAGGGGAGCAGGCTGGTCGATGTTGTTTAACCCCCACCCCAGGGTATTCTCCCATTTATCTTCAGATAGCGTGGGAAGAAGGGAGGGAGGGAGAGGGATAAACATCCACGTGAGGGGGACACATCGACGGGTTGCCTCCCACACGCCTGGACCAGGGCCAGGAATGAACTGAAAGGGAGGTGCACGCCCTTGGCTGGAATCAAACCCGAGGTTCATTAGTCCAAGGGCCAACGCTGAGCCAAACCACTTGGCTCCCAACCGCTGAGCCAAAACGGCCAGGGCAGGCTGGTTGTTTTTACTTTTTTTGGTACATGCCCCTAGCGGGAACCGAACCCAGGACTCTGGTCCGCAGGCCAACGCTCCAACTGCTAAGCCAAACCGGCCAGGGCAGGCTGGTTGTTTTTAATAACAGGTTTATGGAGACACCTTGGCTTTTAGTGGTCACAGAGCTGCAAGCATGCCCCCCCCCCATGATCTAACGCTCCAGATGTGAGTGGGCTGCAGACAGACCACTTGCCCTGGGGGCCAAAGGCCTCAGGGCAGGGCCCAGACCGGCTCCCGTGTACTGAGGCTCCAGGCCAGGGGCCCAGGGTCTCCCCAGCCCCTCTGAGCTTGCTGGGCAATTAGCCATAGCCCGAGTCCAGGGCTCTGACTGGGGGGCATCCCACACGGCTGGAAAAGGGAGGCCCACCCACTGAGCTGAGGGGTCCTGCGGTCGCAGGTGCTTGTTGGGACGGGGTGGTCCTGTGGAGTCCAGTGACCAGGACCTGGGAGCTCAGTGCTGACCAGACCTCTCAGCTCACACACCCACCCCCCGCCCCCACAATGTTCTTGGGCTGCTGCCGCCTGCACCCCATCTCTCTGCCCACAGGCCGCCCAACGCACCCAGCCAGGGCTTTGCTTCTCTCCCCTCTGGGCCCTGCCCCATAAACCAAGAGCGCTTTGCCCTCCGACAGCAAGGCAGTCTGCAGACCGGCGAGCGGCCTGGATGCAGGCGCCAGACGAGGGGCGGTTCACTGTCCTTTATTACTGTCCCTGCAGACCGGCCCCTTGCGGGGGTGGGGACACAGTCCCAAGGGGGCCCGGGGGGAGGGGAGCAGGCTGCACTGGCAGCGGACTCTGGGTGGTGGGGTGCTGGCTGATCAGCTACTGGGGCCTTGGGGGTGACCGCCATCCGCAGAGAGGGGCCCTGAGGGGAGGCACGGATGGTGGGGGCACCGCAGCCCTGAAGGCAGCCGTGGTCTCTGCGCGCTGAGGTTTCGATGGAGCTGTTAGCAGCTGGGCTGGCTGGAGTGGGAGGGGCCGGTGGGCGGGGGCACCCTGAACTTGGACCCTGCTCCCTGGCACCCGTCTGGCACTTGTTCATTTGTTCACTGGCCTGGCAGCTGGGGGCACAGCCACCTTTGAAAGCATTGTAAGCGCCCTGGTCCCTCTCGTGAGACAGAAGTCACGCACACACCGGTCCTGAGGCCTTTGGGCAGCTGCTCCACGAGAAACCTTGGGACTGGAGAAGGCACAGGGGACCCCAGAAAACCCGACAGCCCGCCTCCCAGCCCCCGTGTTAACTGCCTACTGGGGGAGGAGAGAAACCCAGGGCCTGGATGCTGCCCTCCTGGCGGCCCTCTGTGTGCAGGGCAGGGTGCGGGCCCACGGCCGCCGGGAGGAGGGAGGCTGGCGCTGTGCTGGGCTCAGGGCGCAGCCCAGCCCCCTGGACTCTGGAAGAACCTGGTTTGGGGGTCAGGCATAGCCCAAGCGCCACAGCCATGGCGCTGTCAGGATGGCACTTTGACGCCAAAGTGTTTACGAAGCTGTTCCAGAAACACGAACGTGAGCACGGTGTGGGGCATGAGGCGGATGCCAGCTGGCACGAGGCCCTGGGGGAGGAGGAGAATGAAAGTGACAAGTGACGAGCCGGAGGGGGACCCCCGCCCTCACCGCGCTGCCCCGCCCCCGCACCTTGTAGAAGGCCAGCGGCCCGAGCTTCGCGGTCTCCAGGGTGCAGTGGAGGACGCCCTGCAGAAAGAGCCACAGAGCTGCTCCCGGCTCCGAGGAGGCGGTGACGCCTGCCCCGGCACCGCCCGTGGCCCCGGGCGAGTGTGAGGGTGACCTGACGGCCGGTGCCCAGCGTGGCCAGGACACTCAAAGCTACACACAGGATAACACGTGAGCCAGAAGGTCATGGTCGCCCTGCTGCTGACCGGCTGACTGCTGACGTGGCAAAACCAGAACCCGAAGGCGTGTCCAGTGTGCCAGCAGCAGGCTGACCCGCCGGGCACCCGAGGGGTGGAGAGAGCAGGGGCCGAGGCACCGTGAAGACACGGAGCGTGCCACGGGCACCGAGCACCAGGCCCCGCCTCTGTCAATGTGACAGAGAACCTGACTCAGGACACACAGGGCCAAGGCTGCTTGGAGGCAGCTGGGAGGGGTGCAGTGAGGAGCGGGGAGAGGACAGCCGTCGTCATCCCAGGATGAGGACACGGGCTCACGGGCCACAGCCTGGCAGCCGCAGGGCAGGGACCCCCAGGGCCCCGCTCACCTGGTACTCGCCCTTGGAGTTCATCAGGCGTGTCTTCAGCACGTCCAGGGGCTGGCACAGGACCGTGGCACATCCACCCTGGGGAACGCGGCACCAAGGGCCTGCCGTGTAAGATGCTTGGGCACCCCTCAATCCCCACTGGTCTGCCCCCAACCCCCAGGAGCTGCAGGACGGCACCAGGAACTGCTTTAGCCTGGGCACGGGGTGACCTGTGCGCTCTCCTGGCCTGGCACTCAGTCTGAGGGGCATTCACCAGCTGGGCCGGTGCCTCCTAAGCCCTGGCCCTCAGCCCCCAAAGCTGGCCGGGACCCCCACGAGCGCCACGCTCAGCACTCACTGCGATGAAGCTGGCAATAAAGTGGGTGAAGATGCCGTCAGACAGGTACCCCGTGCTGAGGACCAGCTGCTTGGCCTGGTCGTAGCAGGACAGCTGTGGGGTGGCAGGGTGGTCAGGGCCGTCCGGCCCCGGGTCCGCAGTGACACCACCCAGGCTGACTAAGCACCTGTTCTGCGGTCCCCTACACCGAACTGTTGTTGGGTGGACAGGTGAGACCCAGGAAGGTGAGGCCAAGGTCACACACCTGACCCACCTGTGCCCACCTGTGCTCAGTGGCCACCGCCTTCCTCTGTGACCTCTAGGAGGGCTGTGGCCGGGCCAGGGACCCGTAGATGCTCCCCTGAGACCCCCACCCCTGCAGAAGCCCTACCTGGCCCACGGTGACCAACATCCCTCGGCTGGAGGCCATGGTTGCTCCCGAGAACAGTCTCCTCAGACCCTCTGCCAGAGGAAGGGAAAAGGTCCAGCACCAAACCCGTCAGGCCTCCCCTGGGTCTGGACCGCGCTCCCGCCCCATCTGCCTCCGGACTGGATCCTGGCCCGAGGCTGCCCCAGGCTCCTGCCACGCACAGGGCCTGCTCCTCACCTTCTCGGGCCACGCGGTACAGGCCGTCCAGGGCGTGGGCGTAGCTGCCGGGGACACAGAATGGGCCGGTGAGGCTCTCTGCCCACGGGCTCCCCGGGGAGGGTCTTCCCCAGGAAGAGCCAGGAGACCCTCAAGGAAACATCGCAGAGCCAGGAACCACGGCCTGTTCCGGCAGCGCAGTCTCCTCCCGCGGGGCCCTCAGCAGCCGCGGGGCCCCCACACCCACAAGGAAACACCGGGCACCGCCCCTCGGGAGCGGCCAGCCCCAGGCTGGGATGCCCTGCCCGGCCCCTTCCCACCTTCCCCAGGCTTCCGCCCGCCGAGTGAGGACCACAGGTGCGTGTGGAGCACCTTCCGCCCTGAACCGATGCCGATCACGAGTCTAACTGCAGTGTCCGCCCGCAGACAGAGGTAAGAAGGGACAGTGTCTTAGACTTCATGAAAAATAGTGGTGTTGCTTTTTAAAATATTTTTTTCTTTATTGATTTTTAGAGAGTAGAGGAAGAAAGAGAGAGAGAGATAGAAACAGCGATGAGAGAACATCGACTGGCCGCCTCCTGCACGCCCCCCACTGGGGATCGGGCCCACAACCCAGGCATGTGCCCTGACCCGGAATGGAACCAGGACCTCTCGGTGCAGGGTCGACGCTCAACCACTGAGCCACCCCAATCAGGCAAAAATGGTGTTTTTATCATAAAAATCCCCAGCTCCTAAAGCCTCTGAAAGGCCCAAACTCAACCTTCTAAACCACCCACCACGGAGCCGTGTGCAAAGAGCAGACGGGGAGAAGACGGTGACCGGCCGTCCCTGCCACCCAGCCCGAGCCCCAGACTCCTGCACAGGACAGACTCACATCCTGGAGTCCCCTCGGGACTCAGGACAGACATGCGACGCCGGTTTCCAAAGCCGCCGCCGCCCTGCTCCGCCCCGGTGGCCTGCTGGAGCCCCAGCCGAGCCCCTGCACAGCGGCTGGGGTCCTCCCGGCCCAGGCCTCCCGGCACATCCCAAGGGCAGGACTCGGCCCCACTACTCACTTTCGGCGCTGACTCTGGGGCAGCTTCATGTCATTCTGCATCCTGCAACAACAGCGTGGACTCAGGGGTGCAGGCCACACCCACCCCAACTGCAGCACAGGAGGGCTCCCTTGGCTCGCCCACCACAGGCTCAGCGGCTTCCTCGTCCAATGCCCAGAATTCCAAGGTCCAAGTGCCCTGTTCCAGGCTGAGCCCTGGCCTTGTCAGGGGACAGCAAAGACCCTGGCCATGGGGACTGCACTGACCTGACGTTGACCATATCTGCGGGAGTCCCCACGAAGCCTCCGATGCAACCTGGGCAACAGACCCCAGGATCAACAGGTGACCGTGGGCAGTGGCTCTGCTGCCCTACGGCCCCATCTGAGCACACCCCCCTGCCGGACCTCCCCCCACTTGGCCCCCTGCCCACCCAGCCACTCACCACTGATGGAGCCCAGCAACACCTTCTTGTAGAAGGGCAGGGGCCCCTCGCTGCCCTTGGCCACCCGGTCCCGCACAGTCTCGTAGATAGCGAACCGGGTCAGGGAGTAGGTCATCTGGGGGAGAGGCCCAGCTCAGGGGGTGCAGGTGGAGGGAGGGCAGTGCTGTGCGGGGCCCGTATCCCTTGCCCCCCCATGCCAGCCAGGTGCACGGTCATCCCTTGTGGACAATGAGGAGCCCTCTCAAGGCCACATGGCCAATGAGTGGCCGAGCCAATCAGCAAACCTCTTTCCCTCCCTGGGCCTCAGTTTCCCCATCTGTAAGTGGAGGTCTCCAGTCGGCTTTGAGAATAGGGCCGACCCTGTGGAAGGCGGAGGGCAGCACACCCCATATGCCATGCCCTCGCCCACCCAGGGTCACCAGCCCCCCGGGCCCTGGGGTTCCTTCCTCCCAAGCAGCCTTGAAAAGGAGAAAGTTGCCCTGGCCAGTTTGGCTCAGCGGTTAGAGCGTCGGCCCGCGGACGAGAGACCCAGGTTCAGTTCCTGCTAAGGGCATGTACCTGGGTTGCAGTTTGTCCCGGCCCTGGTTGGGGTCGTGTGGGTGGCAACCAGTTGATGTGTCTCTCTCATATCGATGGTTCTCTCTCCCTCCTGCTCTATCTGAAGATAAATGCAAAAATGTCCTCGGGTGAGGATAAAAAAAGGAGCAAGTTGCTTTGATGCCCATGGGTGCCCACAGTGGATAGGAGGCACAGCCACGTTTGAGTCTAGGCGTGGTGGATGCCAGCCATCCCTTCTGCCTGCTTGGGCTGCTTGGAGCGTGGGTTCTGGGCCCAGGAACCCCTGGTGGGGGCTGCCCTGGGAGGCGGGGAGCCCTGGAGGCACCTGTCTGCACAGGGAGGCGCTCAGGCCGTTGTAGAGGGCCAGGATGCCGTCGGAGCGCACCACCTGCAGCGCCATGCCCGTCATGCGCAGCTTCACCTCCTGTTGCGTCTGCAGGTGCACCTGTGGGGGGAGGGGACACACCTGCTCAGTGGCCAGCCTGCTCCTCGCAGAGCTTTCCTGCAGCCTTGACTCCCCCACGATGACCTGGGGGCCAAGTGCCGCCGCAGCCCCGCTTGGAGACGGAAAACGGAGGCACTGGGAGGCGCTCAGCGAGGGGATGGTGCTGGGATGCCATGCCGTGCCTGGCACCAACTTCTGCTCCACACTACTGTTTCACAAGTGACAACACCAGGTGACTGGTGTACCCACCAGGCCTGCGGGAAACACTCCAAACCTGTCTGAGTCCTCTGGGCACTGCTGTGGGTGGGGATCGTAAGCCCCATTTTACAGGTGAAGAAACGGAGGCAGGACCCCGGCAGGCCCATCGTTCAGCCTTACTCACTCCTCACGGGACAAAATTATAGGGACTCAGGCACCCCGAAGAGCATGGGGATGGACAGAGGCAGGCAGGGACTCGGCGGGGAGGAGGGGAAAGGCACCTCAGACCGCCACTCCCTGCGGGCCCGCTCGGGCAGGTCCCTGATCTGGGCCTCGGTGTCTCTCGGTGTTCCGTGATTAGGGAACTGTCTCTTCCCAGGGCTTCCAGGCAGTGGGGCGGCCAAGGTGGGGGTGGGGGGCCTTGTGCCCAGCTCAGAGACATGAGCGGTGGGGTCCCGCTGCCCGAGTCAAGCATGGCAGGACAGTAGGCACGGGGTCCTTGGTCAGGGCTGCCATGTGGGCAGCAGCTCCTGTCCAGACAAGAGACTGAGGATCAAGTCAGGACATGAGGCAAAGAAAGATCAAGGAGCTTCAAAATAATTTCTTCAGTGACCATGCTGAGAAGTAAAAACCCCAGCCTGGGCCTCCCTCCAAGGCCAGCCTCCACACCCTGGCACAGGGCCACTTGCTCTGCCGGCCAGAGGTGGCCACACTCCTGTGGCCATCTGCCCCCTGACTCATCCCGGCAGCAAAACAGTGCGTGGGGGCCGGGCAAGGGGCCTTGGCTAGTGCAAGGCTGGGGGGGCTCCGAGGGCCCCTGGAGGCTGCTCCCAGGTCAGAGCCTGACCCTCCAGGGCCCCAGGGTGGTGGGGGGTGTGGGAACCTGTGTGCGCACCCAGAAAGCAAACCAAACGGATGCGAAGAGGGGTTCCTTTCTCCAAACCAAAAAGCACTTTCCAGTACAATGTCATGCCCCCTCTCTGGTGGTCAGAGCACCCTCCAGGCCCTGGGGGCTACTCCCAGGACAAGCCAGGTCTCGCCAACAGGGCTACCCAGCTTCAGCCTCCTGTTCTGCTAAGCCTGCCTTTACTCCTGCCTTTACTGGTGGCATAGTTTTTTTTATCCTCACCCAAGGATATTTTTCGATATCTTGTTCAGATAGAGTGGGGAGAGGAAGAGAGAGAGAGAAACATCGACGTGAAAGGGACACATCGAGTGGCTGCCACCCGCACGGCCAACCAGGGCCGGGGACAAACTGCAACCGAGGTACATGCCCTTAGCGGGAACCGAACCCGGGTCTCTCCGGACCACAGGCCGGCACTCTAACCGCTGAGCCACACCGGCCAGGGCTACCGGTGGCATTTTTACTAGAGAAGCAATCCCCTCCCTGGGGGCAGAGAAAATGCCCCCAGGCAGGGGACGCCTGGGGGTGCCAAGCCAGCCAGCCAGCCCCGGAGTAGGTTTGGGGGTTGGGGGGGCAGTGTGGGCACAGACAGCTCTGGGTGGGGGTGAGGAAGGGGGTGGCCAGGTGGCTGCCCCTCACCTACGGGCCCCACCTGACATAGAGCCAGTTCCCTGGGCGGACAATGGACAATGGACAATGGTTCGTGCCTCCGGCCCGACTTTGTTCTTTGTGGTGAGACAGGGCAGAAAACAAGCCCCGGGCGGGCCCTGGGGACAAGGAAGTTGGGTCTCATTCTGCCTGTAGCTTTGACAACACGCGAGCAGGGTGCGGTGCGTCGCAGGGGCCGCTGGCCGCCCTCCTAGGGCAGGGCCGCTGCTGCCCGGTGCCCGCCGGGTGCCCACCCGGTGCCCGCCCGGTCCCAGGAAACAGCCCAAACAGGGGGCCTGCCTCACCCCGCTCGCCCAGCACACCCCTCATTCTCTCCCCTCGTGGGTGCGGGAGTGCGTGGGGGCGGCTGGGCCCCGGCCCTGGGTGTGCCACAGCCACTCCTCGGCTGTCCTCGGGCCGGAAGGGTGTCCTCGGGGTGCGGGGGACACCGGCTCGGCGGGGCCCAGCCGGCCAAGGTCACATGGGCAGCGCAGCGCGGGGCGGCCGCCGGGAGCGCTGGGCCCCGGGGCCGCCCTGCGCCCGTCCCCGCGGCCCCGGGCGGGCGGCCGGAGCCCCGGGCGCGGGCCGGGCCCTCCCGCCGCCGGCCGCGGCCTCACCTTGAGCAGGTCCAGCGGGTGCGTGCAGCAGGCAGCGCCGCACGACGCCAGGCCCCCGAAGTACCAGCGCGACACGCGCGCCTCGGCCGCCATGCCCGGAAGAGGGGCGCTGCGCGGGCCCGACCCGACCCGCCCGACCCGCCCGACCCGTCCCGACCCGAGCCGGACCCCTGCCCGCGCGGCCGCCCGAGCGCCGGGTTCAAAGCGCCGTCCGCCACCCGCGCCCGGCGCAACCAATACGCCCGCGCGGCGCGGGGCGGGGCCAGGGGCGGGGTCTCCGGGCCACGCCCCCAGCGCCTTAAAGGGGCCGCACCGCAGGGCTGCGGAGCCCGGGGCACCCCCAGCTCCCGTCTGTGGGTCGCACGGACTCGGGGACCCTGCTGCGTGAACCCCCCCAGTGCCCCCAGGAACCTGGGGCCCCTGCCCCTGCGCCGACCCCGGGTGGGCACGTGGCCGAAGGGCACGGCTTTGGGGCTCCGGCCCCCCTCCCGGAGGCCGGCCCCCGCAGCACCCCGCCCCAGCCACGGCCGAGCCGACGTCCAATGCCCACCCGCCACGCAGGTCGCGGTCCGCCCCGGACAAGTGCAGTTGCAAGTAGCAGAGACCCCCTTGGGACCAGCCTGCGGCAGCAAGAGGACTAGGGGCGAAAGGCGGCTCCGAGGCCGGACACCGCGCCTGCCCGAGTTCCCAGCCAAGTCCAGCCTCAGGCCCGTCGGGCCGGGCAGCCCCAAGCTAGAGGCGGCCAGAGGCAGGCTCAGGCCCCGGCCCCCGAGGGCGGCCACCCGCAGGCTGCCTGCCCCTGCGTGCAGGTCCCCACGCTCCTCCCACCTCCCAGCGAACAATGGGAGAGCAGGTGGGCTCTGAGCCCAGTGAAGTCCAAGTCCCCCAGGGCCACTTTCAGGCAGGACCATGGGGCCGCGGGGGTCCTCTGGGGGGTGGGGGCAGCCTCTAATCTCAGAGAGGGCACAACCTACCACCAGCTTGACCACTGCAGCCCCCACCCCAAGGGAGGAGGGGGAGGGGCGCTGGGGAAACCACTCTTGGTCCCCTGAATCTGCAAAGTGCACAGTAACGACCGTCCTGGCTGGCCTCTGGGCACCGAGCAAGTCCAGGACGGGTGAGCAAGCCCATCTATGTAGTGAAGTGGCTACTTGGAAACGGAGGGGCTAGGTCTTCTAGAATCCCAGGAGGATCTGACCCTAAGGTCATCAGCTGGGGAAGCCAACAGCAGGCAGTAAAGACGGTGTCCAGCCCAGAAAGGCTGGGGGCGGGGGGGGAGGGGGCGGGGAGAGGGGCGTGTTGGCCACAGGGCAGCTGCCTCATCTGAAAGGGGGTGGGGTTAAGAAAGGCGGCCGATGAGCCAGGCCCCAGCCCTCAGCTGGTCCAGCGTCATGCTGTGCACTGGAAGGTCGTCAGTTTCATTCCTGGTTGGGGTGCAAGCAGAAGGCAACGGACTGATGTTTCTCTCCCTCTAAGTATGTCCTCAGGCGAGCATTTAAAAAAATGCTTAAAAAAAAAAGATGTCAGGTGCAAACTGGGTAAAAACACTACCCTGGGGAGAAGGGTAGCAGGAGTCTCTGGAGACCAGAGGGGAAGGTGGGTGACAGAGCCCCAGGAAACCTGACAGTGTGGCTTCACAGCTAACACAGACTTGCACAGGTAGCACCTGGGCAAAGCAGAGCTGCCCTGACCACTCAGGGCACCTACAGGAATCAACCAGTGAATGCATGGATGGGCAGAACAAGCCAATGTTTCTCTCTCGATAAACAGTAAATAAAAACAACAAAACCAGAGCTAAGAGCATCTGCTAGGAGGCGAGAGGCAGACCCTGGGGCGCCCTAGGGAAGCAGGTGGAGCCCTGGGAGCCCACTCCCTGTCCCTAGCCCATCTCACTCAGTAGCCATCAGCCCAAGGGCAAGGTCATTGACTCCTGACTACAAAGTGAACAGGTTGATGAAGCAGGTCTCGGAAGTGGAGGTGACAGAGACTTCTGGGGTCCCTAAGACTTTGTGACAGCCCAGGAAGCAGGGGGCCAGGCTCCAAGGGGTGTAGGGACTAGTTGCAACTAGATTGGGTCCTGCTGGCAGGGAACAGACTGTTCTCACATTGGGAAGGAGTGCCTGGAGGCTTGGCAGCCCGAAATGAAGGGATACTTTAAGAATAAAAATGTAAAGAGCAGCCCCCGGGCCCGGCCAGTGTGGCTCAGTTGTTGAGCATCGACCCCTGCACCAATAAGTCACCAGTTGATTCCTGGTCAGGGCGCATGCCCAGGTGGTGGGCCCGATCCCCAGTGGGGGCATGCAGGAGGCAGCCAATCAATGTTCTCTCTCATCAGTGTTTCTGTCTCTCTCTCTCTAAAATCAATAAAGAAAAAAAAAAAAAGAGCAGCACAGGCTGGTGTGCTCAGTGGTTAGAGTGTCAGCCCTCGGACCAAAGGGTCTCAGGTTCGATCCCCAGCCATGGTAGGGGCACGTGCCTACTGATTTGTCTCTCATATCAGTTTTTCTCTATCCACCCCCTCCCTTCTGCTCTCAGAAAAATCAATGGAAAAAATATCCTCAGGTGAGGACTAACATCAGAAAAGTCAAAGCAGCATGAAATGCACGGGCTCTTGTGAAAGGCTGGTCAGGCCTGGACGGCAGGAATGTGCCCGTGTTGCAGGTCAGGACCTGGAAAAGGCCCGAGCGGAGGCCTCGGGTGGATCCCAGACCGTCACAAGCCCAGCGGTGATGGGCAGGCAGGGGGCAGGTCTGATAACAGGGTTGCGGCAGGCCCGGCTCTCGGGTGGGGCCTGAGGTCTGTTCTGGGGCACCTGCACTTTCTCCTGGAGCCACATGGGTAGCCTGGAAGACTCCGGGGCCCCTGGAACGGGGGACCCATAAGGGCAGGAGGCACATGAGTCAGCTCCAGCTCTCTCGGCCATGTCCGGAGACCTTTTCACCAGGCTGGACAAAGAACAGGAATACTATTTCCTACTAGGACCTGACAGGACCTTGTGAGGTGCTGTGTGGGCACCACAGGGCAACCCGGGACACAGGCACACCTCCCAGTGCAGAGCCCAGTGCCAAGGCCACGTGGGCTCCAGGGACCAGGGCAATCCCCAGGGCACAGCCCTTATCCCCAGGTCTGGCACTAATTCGTGGGCCACCTGCAGGCTGCAGCACGACAGGGGAGCTGGGAGTGGTGGGCCAGGACCCCCGTCAGGAGGCCCAGTGCCTTCAGGAATCGACTGTGACCTCAGGTATAGGCCACCAAGGAGACACCAACACCGCCCTAGCCTGGCACACTGGAGGAGGAATGCGCTTGGCTAGACGGCCCCTGAATGCAGGGCCGCCCCTCCCTCTGAGCGGCCACCCCAACAAACCCAGGACGACGCAGAGGCCCGGTCATGCCAGCTGTGCCCCTGGCTCCCTGGGAAAGCCGAACAAAGGTCTGTGATCCTGCAGGCCCGGCTCTCCCTGAGCTCTGCCGCTTCCTCCCCCACCCCCACAAGGCAGCCAGGGCAGCAGGCCACACCCAGCCCCAGGTAGCCAACTGCCATCTCCGGATGGAAGGCACACCGAGACCTACGGATGGATAATCATTAATCTTGTGGGGCGGCACGGCCCCAGGCTTGGCAGGGGGGCGCCTGGGTCAGAGAGCAACCTCCCTGTGCCTCCCTGGACCCTTCCTACAAGGTCCAGCTGGCAGCACACACTGGGGGAGGGCCCCCAGGCTTGAGAACACCCATCTGGAGCTGACCCACCCAAGGGCCGCACTCCCGAACACACAGCGCCCCCTCTGGTCCCACAGGTTGATCCTGCAGGTTATTCTTCCAACAGGGGCAAAGGGGGTGGCAAAGACAGGACACGGAGACCCAGGACAGCGAAGGTGGGGAGCCCTGGGGGGTAGCAGGCTCTCAAGGCACACTGCAGCTTCCCTCCTTCCTGCGCTCTGCCCCAAGTCCCTGGGGTCTCCGGCTAAGGGCAGGGGAGGAAGAAGTCCACTGCCCCCAGAAAGGAAGCCAAGGTTCCTGGGAGCAGGGCCCCAGGGCTCCCCCCCTCAGAAGCTAAGAGCGGCACCAGGCTGCGTCCCTCCCCTCCCCCTGGCTTCTAGGCCCTCTTGGGGCCGCCTGGGGCACAGCCTCTCCCCGCCAGCCTGGGCGGGGCTGTACCACAGCCTCCAGGCTGCCTCGGCGAGGGCGGAACTGCACATCCAGCTCCGGGGTGAAGACCTGGCATCAGCTACGGGGCAGCTGCCAGCTGTCAGGCACGATGGGGAAATGCCGCCAGCTGTGAGGTCTCAGAGGACCCTGATGAGCGCCGGCAGACCCTCGCCCATCCCGCGGCCCGCCGGACAGAGCACTGCGTATACACGGCCCAAACCATGTATTTTCTCAGCGGCCACCAGGGGGCGCGCGGTGCACTCGGGCACGGCCCAGAGTCCGCCCGGTGCCCACAGGCAGCGGCCGCCCCTCCAGTCCCAGCAGGTCCATGCCTGTCCCAGAACCAGGCTGCCACGCGGTGGCGGTGTGGAGTTCTGCTCCGAGGCGCCCATCCCCTGAGCCTGGGTGTGGGTGGAGCCGGCAGGGCCTTGCCCGGGTCCCAGGGACCCCTGTCCACGAGTCCTCAGCACTGGCCTGCTACTCCAGGACCACGGTGCCGCCCACTGCCTCCAGAGCTGCCTTGATCTTCTCTGCCTCGGCCTTGGCGACGTTGGCTTTGATTTCCTGGGGCAGGGACTCCACCAGCTTCTTTGCCTGCCAAAGAGTCAAGTCAGACACCAGGCCTGGGTTCTGTGGACCACGCATGGCCTGGGAGGGGCGGCCCAGAACTCACCTGCACGAGGTTTATGCCCTGGACGTAGTTCTTGATTTCCTTGATCAGCTTCACTTTGTCCACCGGCTTTGCCTCTGTCAGGCGGACAGTGAAATGTGTCTGTTCTTTTTGTTTGGGGATGTCTTCTTCTACTACCTGGAGGGGGACAGAGAGTGGGTGAGCAGGTGAGCAAGGATGGCATGGAGCGGGCACATTCACTCCAGGGCTGCCCGTCCTGTAACCCCAAAGGCAAGGCCCCTGCAACTCCAGCAGGAGGGAGGCCAGTGCTTCCCCTCCCTTATCTACTCCCGGGTCAGACTGAGTCCCCCCCCCAGAACCATTCAGCTCTCCAGACACTTCTAAAACTGTCTCCCTTCCCGGCCCCTGAAACTCCAGGTCGACAGCAAAAGTGCTTTGTGGGTAAAATAACTTGAAGAAAAGCAGGGCCATTCCAACCCTCAAGCAAGCCTGGCGGCTCACACAAATGTACCACCAGCCTGGGCTCCGCCTTCACCAAGGGGCCAACAGTGCACACCAGGGGTGACAGCCCCTGACATCTGAACAAGTTGGGATAGGAAGTCAAGGCCAATTCTCTTTGCTGCGCGAGTGGATCGTGGCACCTTGTGGTTTGAGAGAGGTGGGCTGGGACGCAGAGAGGAAGGAACAGACCAGAGTTCTGCCTTAAGCGTCAAGGGACAGGAGGCACAAACGGCAAACCTTAGTTATTGCTAAGGCTGGTGAGGGGTATACGAGTGATCGTGTTCTTATTCCCACTTGTGGACAATTTGAGATCTTTAAAAATAGTAAATATTGAAAAGAACAAAAGCAAATTCGTGTGTGACTTCAAGTCTGCTGGCTTCCTCGTAGACACCCAAACCCATACCAGTCACTCAGAGATGAAGCTGCCCATCACCTCCCTGCTCCTCTCCAGCCCTGGACATGCCTGATGGCCCTCGTGCTCACTGTCCCCCCACCAGGAATGCCTTGCTCTCTCCCTCAACTCCTCAAGAGTGTCACCTGCTCATCATGGCCTTCCTTGAACCTGTAACTCCCTTAAGCTTCTTCCCTACTTTCCCACACAGCACTTGTAACACCCTACTATTCAATATAATTTGTCTTTTTCCTCTCCTCTGGTTCATTGTCAGTTTCCCTCTAATAGAAACATGGTCTCCTGTGGGCAGGGACCTGCACATCCTTGGCAGGGAGGAGGTCCTGGGGAGGCTGACCAGAGCCACACCCAGCAACACACAGATTTGCAGGGTGTATAAGTTGGTCCAGGACAGAAACGAGGGACAAGAGAAATCTGGCCACGTGACGTGAGGGAAGCTGGGAAATGGGCATCAGAGGAACATGTCTTTCTGCAGAAGACACTGCCTGGGCTCACCTCAGGAGCTGCCGCAGCAGGGGCAGTACCAGGCATCATGCCACCCATCGGCATGAGCCCCACATCCTGGATCTTCAACGTTTTCTGCAGGGACAGAGGAAAGCAGTCTCAGAAGCTGGCTGTCACAACCAAACACGCTTAGGGACAAGTCTGGCACATCCTTGCACTCGGAGAGCACACTTTCCACAACTGACTAAACTCCCCAAATACACCAGGAACGAGACACAAGCCCAGGCCTGGCCCGTGATACCTTCAGGAGCTCGTTGAGGTCTGAGATCTCCAGGAGCGTGAGGCTGGCAATGTCCTGGACCAGCTGCTGGATCTTGGGGGGGTACTCCTTGGGGGCGTTATCTAGGGGTGCGCCGGCGAGGGCCTCCCCCTTTCGATGACTGCTGCATCTCATCAGCCGCACAGTGCAGACTCGTGGCACCTGTTGCCTAGACACCATTCAAACAGAGCAGTCAGCCCAGCACAGGTGGGTGACACAGTCCAGGCAGGTAGGTGCCATGAGCGCAGGTCTAGCCCCGTGGTCCCAATCCAGGGTTCTCAGACTCGAGGGTCCATGTCGACAGCAAGAGATTTTCCCAGCTACTTGACACTCTTCACAAGCCTTAGAAACCCAGGTAATTACTGCTGCAGAATGCTGCTCACAACAACTTCCCGGTTTGAATGGACCACGGCAGCTCATGGCGGTAATGCAATCATGCAAATGCATTTTGCTGCACGAAGCCTTTCGGAACCTGACGGCGGACCGCCAGAGGCACTGCTGGGAGTCCTACCATGTCACTGGGCTGCGAGGGAAACTGAGGCCCGGAGAAAGGCAGGAAGCCGTCCAATGCGATCTGGGGCCACCCTGGCACTCTCCGCGGCCCGTACGGTTAGGGGGCCGGCCGCGGAGGTCCCGCCGCCCCCCAACCCCGCCGGGACCTGCCGAGTTTGGGTGGCCTTCCGCCCGCCGCCACGACCTGAACCGTCGGTGGCCGGCCGAGGGCTCCCACTCTGCCCGCCCGAGCCTCAGCAGCCCGCGGTACCTGGCAAAACGGAGCACGGCACCCCGAAGACCGAGACACGGCCCCCAGAGGGGGAGAGCGGCCGCCGGCAGCATCGCTCCGCGGGCGGGAAGGTCACACGCGGGTCCGGGTAGGAGGGACGCTCTAGCTGCCGGAGCCGCCGAGTACACGCGCTGGGGAGGACGCTCTAGCAGCTGGGGCCGCCGAGCATACGAGCTGGGAAGGACGCTCTAGCCGCCCGGGCCGCCGAGCATACGAGCTGGGGAGGACGCTCTAGCCGCTCGGGCCGCCGAACATACAAGGTGGGGGAGGACGCTCTAGCCGCCGGGGCCGTCGAGCATACGAGCTAGGAAGGACGCTCTAGCCGCACCTGACGCTTGCTTCCTCTCGCTCGCCGAGATTACCCACAAAGCGAGCGGGGCGAGCGAAGGCCAGCGGAGGCCGAAGCTTGGTGCCAGGCTCCGTCCGAGTCGGGGGCGGGCCCAGCTCGGGCAGAGCAGCGCGGTCACCTCTGCCGGAGCCTGGCGTCCGCAGCCCGTGGCGTTCCCGCCGCCCTCCGGCCAGCCTGCGCCTTGCTCGTCCTCCGCCAGCACGGGGAGGCGCGCGTTCGGCCCCGCGGTCCAGGCCGCCTCCTTCCCCGGAAGGGCCCCAGGTCCCACAGGTCCCAGGGAGGAGCGTCTGCCTGCCTGCCTCTCGGTCCAGCCCCCAGACACCCGGCCGAGCGGTGTCTTCAGCTCGCCCGCTGCGGCGTCTGCCCTGCGCCCTGGCCCGTTCCTGTCTGTGTGCAGCGAGCTGAAGCTGCCCCCGCCGCCACCGGCGAATTTCTAAGACCCAGCCCTGGAACAGCCCGACTTCATGTCAAATGAGAAGGCAGGGCTGCCCTTGCCGGCACCTGCTGTCATCCTGGGCCCCGCCTTGGACTCCAGCTGTGGTGGCCCCTGCCTATTAAACAAGCCCGCTCCTGCATAGAAGAGCTAATGCTGTGGTCACCTAAGAGGTCTGGGTACTTAAGGCTGTGTTCTGAACTCTGGATGCAAGGTGCTGAGTCTAATGCTCAACATTTTCTTCCAGACTACAACTGGCATTGTAGTCCGACTCCAGCCACAGGCCCTGCACGCCTGTCCCAGGACCAGGGGAAGTGGGGCTGTCCCAGGGAGGAGACAGAGGCTGCCTGTGGAGCTGGGTCTGGGGCAGCAGACAGGCTGGCCTACGGCGGTGCACCTACACACTCCTGTCCAGAGCTGGACCAGCTGCCCACCACCTTCCCTCTGACCAGACACTTGATACTTTTTTTTGGACAGGAAGTAGGATTTATTGGTGGGTGTAAGGAGGGGGCAGCACTGAGACTCTCATGAGTAGAGTGTCCGCCACTTGTCCAGGGGACCAGTTAGGCATGTATTTAGCCCACAGCCATCTGGGATGAGCCGCTTTTCAGCCACCATGTCTTCAAATTCACCAGCATTAAATTGAGCAAAGCCCCACTTTTTGGAGACGTGGATCTTCTGGCGGCCAGGAAACTTGAATTTGGCTCTGCGTAGGGCCTCAATCACATGCTCCTTATTCTGCAGCTTGGTCTGGATGGACATGATGACTTAGCCCATGTGGACCCTGGCCACTGTGCCCCGGGGCTTTCCAAAAGCACCCCGCATACCTGTCTGGAGCCTGTCACCCCAGCACAGGACATCTTGTTGATGCAGATGACGTGTGGAAACCATCTTTGCCACAGCTTTTCACCATGTACTGTTGGCACACATGCGGGCAGCCTCCAGGGCTTCAGAGGAGAGCTGCTCACATTCACCTGACACCTTGTGGCCAGAGTGGGAACTCATCCACTTTTGCCTTCCTCCACCCCAGGTCAAAGATGCGGATCTTGGCATCAGGGACACCTCTGCAGAAGCGAGTCTTTGGGTATGGCTTGTTCTTACAATACCAGTGACACCAGGTGGGGCGGCGGCCCATGGCAACACCAGGATCTTCACTGGCATGCCGCAGGGAGAGACCACTTGATACTTGTTGAACAGATTTTATTATCGCTGTTCCATTCTGTCTACTGGGGGCACTGGATGACAGCTCAGAAGCAGAGAAGCTGGAGACAAGCCCCCACCCCTCCTGTGGGGGCCAGAAGTCCCCTGCTGACAGCCCTGGGGATTTGGGGGGTGGCACTAGAGGGCTCTGGGGAGCACTCACACTAGTCAGCCAGCAGGCCCCCAGTGGGGATGGGAGGGCAGAAGGACCCGACACCAGGCTGGGGTTTCCTGTCAGAGAAGATGCTTCCCTCCACCCTCACCCTACAGCCCAGCCGTGGGGAAGGAAGTCAGAGGCCAATTCAGGAACATGAGGTGGAGCCCGAGGGGTGAGCCAGCAGGCAAGGACAGGAGGACTGGGGAGAGGGCCACCCTGCTCACAGGACAGGGACACTGCAATGCGTAGGAGGAGATCACGGGGAGGGAAGATGACACTAGTCAGAAATGGAGGTGGGCGGTCTTGGAGGACGTAGTGTTACTCTGGGCAGCGAGCTGGCCTGCGGTCAGTCGAATGAGATGAGCTGGGCCTCACTGCCCTGCACCTGTGGCCCCTGTGCAGGCGGCGGCTGGGCCACGGGCGGCTGCTGCTGCTGGGGAGGGCCACCAGAAGGTGCCATCTGGGGGACAAGGGACCATTGGTCCTCCTCCCCCAGGCCCCAGCTCCCCTCCCTCTAGTGGCTTCTCTAGGACACCCCATCGCAGCCTTGTCCCTGGTACTCAGTCCCCGCCAGCCCTGGGCGCACTGAGGGTGGCATTTCCCCCCAACTTGTCATGGGCTCTCTGTGAGCTTCTTGCCCCAGCAGGGGCAGCCCCGGAGCTCCCAGCAGGGCCCACAGGGTGCTGCATGTATCCGGGTTCTGCTGGGTGAGCAGCACTCCTGTGCGGAACTATCTGCTCTTCCCAGCACAGCCCCTGCGGGGGCCTGGGGCCCAGGGTGGTGTCCTGGGGGAGGCTCACCTGCTGGTACATGGGCTGCTGCCCCGAGATGTAGTGCTGCTGAGGGGGTGGCAGAGGTGCATCCTGGCTGGGGAGGGTGGTCATGAGACTCTGAAATGAGAGGAACCCAGACGTTGAGAAACAGGCCCTGCAGCCAGACAATGCAGAATTTCTGATTTGGAGAACCAGCTAGGGGGGCCCACTGGGGGTCAGGGGGTGGTGATTACAAGGGCTGAGCCTGGCCAGCACTCCCCACAGCTTCTTGCCCAGGGACCTGCCCGTCTGGATGCCCCACGTGGACTCACCTGCATGCTGTAGGGCTGGTAGCCCATGGACACTGCCTGGCTCCCCATATAACCCATGTTGGCGGACTGCGGGGGCTGGGACATGGCCGGGAGGCTCTGTGGCGCCTGGGAGGCCACATTCTGTGGAGGAAAGGAGTGTGACAGGAGGAGGACTGGCGGGCACGTCACAGGGACCTGCTGGGGTGGGAGCGCCTACCTGATAGCCCTGCGTGGGGGTGGGCTGGTAGGAGGAGTAGGCTGGGCTGGTGCTGGGTCCTGCAGGGCCCTGAGGGGCTGCCTGAGCACCAGCAACCCCTGCGGGGTACATGTAGGTGCTCACCATGCTGGGGTCTGTGGAGGAAGAGGAAGAGCAAGAGCCTGGGGGTGGGGAGTATTTCTCTTGAGTTTTCCTTTCTGTTGTGAGTTTTGGAATCAAGTTCACGTTTCATGTTCTCACCGAAGGAAAATAAATGAAATCAGCAAGGAATGGAGAGGACCCCTAACCTGACAGAAATCAGAAGAATCGAACCCAACTGTATTCCAACCGAGTCAATGACACTGCAGCGGTGGGGGACAGCACAGCCCGGTAACTTCTGAACCCAGAATCAGGACTCAGCACAACAAACATCAACCTTCCACAGTGGCCTGGGCTGGCACTCCTGAAATTACTTCTGAATTCTGGGACCAAACAAGTAAGTCAACACAGGGGACGGGTGTTGGTGGGGGGTGACAAGCACAGGAAGGAGAGTAAGCTTGAGCCTCAGGACTGAAGGTGATGGAGTGAATGGATTTCAGTGTGTGCCGTAAAGATGCGCGCACGCAAATGCAATAAAATGTTAACATTTGGGGAATCAGGGAAATTCTTTGCACCATTCATTCTCTTAACTACTCTTTAAATCTATTATGCTAAAATAAAAACGAAAGAAGATAATGATTTGGGGTTCATCCTGGCTGGTTGGCGCCTCTGCCCACTCCATTACCTGCTCCGGAGCCTGGCACGCTGGGGTAGGGGCTGCTGCCGGCTGGGGCTGGCTGGCTCATGTACACGGTGTGCATGGGGGAGCCTTCCACCGAGCCTGCTGGGCTGAAGGTCCCTGGGAAATTTGTGGGGCCAGTGGGCTGGTACAGCACGCCCCCTGCCGTGGGCATGGCCTGGAGCTGGGGACAAAGAGATGCCATCAGGGTGGCTCCCAGTGGCTGCAGGCAGTGGGCTGGGAGGAGCAGGGCGCCTACCTGGGCATAGGGCAGGGAGAAGGCAGGCATCTGGGCGCGCATCTGGATGGTCTGCTTCTGCTGCTCCAGGCGCAGCTGCCGCTCCTTCTCCTGCTCCTGCAGGCGCTGGATGGCCAGCTGCCTCTGCACCTCCAGGTACTCCTGCGGGCCACAGGGCAGCAGTCAGCACGGCCGTGTCCTGGGGCCCCCGCAGTCGGCCTCCAGGCTGCCCGCCGCACCTGCTTCTTCTGGCGCATGATCTCCAGCTTCTGGGCCAGCTGAATCTGACGCTGGCGCTCCGCCTCCTCAGCTGCCCGGCGCAGCTTCTCCCGGTGCTCCTCCCGCAAGGCGGTCAGCGCCCCCCGGGCGTCGCGGATCTGCGCCAGCTTGTCCTGCAGCCCCTCGTAGTACACTGCGGGAGGGCAGAGCAGGCCCTCAGCACTGTGTCGACTCGGTTGGCCGTAGTCCTGAGTGTTTACTGACAGGGCACAGCTGGCACTGGGCTGGGGGACTGTTCCTTCAGCCAACTGTCCCGTGCTCAGTGACACCACCTCCCCTGGAGCCAGAGAAGCTGCGGCCCCTGGGCAGCCCTGTCCCAGGGACCTCTCGCTGCCCAGTCAGAGGCCAGCACTGCTGGGGGCCTGGCCGAGGCCAGGAGGGACCTACACCTGCGCTCGTCCAGCTGGTTGAGCAGCTCCAGCAGCTGAG